GACCAGGGCCACCGGACTAGCTCACAGGCAGCGTCCCTGGTCTCCAGCAGCACCGCCAGCTACATAATTTTTAACTGTAGTTTTGCAACTGCAGTTAGTAATCGAAAGTCAAAAGTCTTACAGTAAATCCGGTAAGAAAAACAAAGTAACTACCAGAAAAGGGAGGAATTCAAGTGAGGAAAAGGGTTAATAGGACTGGCTCAGGCTGAGCCCATTGAGACAGAAAAGCTTGGCTCACATATCCTCTGAGTGAAAATGACTGAGTGAGGAGGTCAGCCAGTGTAAGGCATTAGGACGTAACAAACCATTTTAGACCAAACCACTTCCTGGAAGGGATTGCCTCTCATTTTTATTACATCCAAAGTGGATGGAGGTCTGGCAAAAAAAAAAAGAAGAAGAAGAAGGAATAAAGACTTAAGGTTTTATGGAGAAAATTCTGAGTCTGAAAGAAACTTAGTCAAATTTGTGTGCTGAAATGAGTGCTTCTGAGAAATGAAACACTAAGATAAGTAAATGGAGAAACTGGTCATCACAGAGGAGCTTAGAATAAGAAGAAGGTGCTTGAAAGGAATAAAAAGAAGATGAAATAGTATTTGGAGAGGAGAAAGACCATCCTCAGGGTGGGTTGAGGTAAGGCCTGATCGGTGAGTCGTGGCTGTGATTAGCTGATTCCAGGTATCCGTAGCACTGTGCTGGCCTGAACTGTGATCATTGCTTTTTTTTTTTACTTGCAAAAATCAGAGTAACATGTAGTTTTCCAATTCGCCTGAGGCTCCAGTTAATGAAAGAAAAGGATGAATCAGATGTAAGATAGAGCTTTGAAGACAAAGCCCGATCATTCAACGACAAGATCAGTTTAACAGTCCCCACGATGTTTGTCTGACAGAGGAATTACTATTTTTGGACTTGACGTAGCAAAGATATATCACGAGCCTATTTACAGCTATTCGTGGTGTAGGTGCGCTGAGAGAATCAGAGAGCTCAGGGCTTTGATGTAGCCTGGTTCTCAAGTGTGTTCTTGTAGTAACAGTTTGTTTCAGGAGTAATCATGAGGGGTTTTTGAGACATTTATCAGAACAGTAGCAGTAGTAGCTAAAGCTTCAGTGGCGGCTCCTACGTGTCAGGGACAATTAGGGGTCCTCTCCACAGGGTAACTCCTGTAATCCATTCGGGAGTAACCGCCTGGGTAACCTCCCATTAGGAGCCGTTATGATTCCATTTTTCAGATGAGGAATCTGAGGCACAGGAAGGCTTGTCCAAGGTTACACAGCCAGAAAGAGCAGAGCCTGGGTTCCTCAGTACCCCCACTCCCACACTTGGCCCTTGTTCACAGTTTTCCTTATAATATATAAAAGCAATTTGACACCACACAGAAAGGTGCAGGGCCTGTTATACAACTTCACCTGCCCTGTGACCATGAGGTGCACCCTTCAGTTCTTTAAAAACATTTTGACATGTATGCTTTGTATCTATGGATCATGCACATTTTTATTTTTCATGTTGCAAATGTATGTATAAGTAGCAATATACTCTATTTGCTTTGTATGACTTGCTAATTTTTTTCCTCTCACGGTTAGGATTGAGATCTGTCCAGACAGATATGTGTCACCCAGGTCAATGGACACTGGCCTCACCTGGCTCCTGGGCATCAGCTGAGATGTGCTATGCATGTAAAGTACAGAGTAGATTTCAAAGAGTGCTTAGTCTCTCAGTTGTCCAGCTCTTTGCGACTCCATGGACTGTAGCCCACCAGGCTCCTCTGTCCATGGGATTTTTCAGGCAAGAATACTGGAGTAGGTTGCTATTTCCTTCTTCAGGGGATCTTTCCAACCCAGGGATAAAATCTGTGTCTCCTGCATTGGCAGGTGGATTCTTTACCTGCTGAGCCATCGAGGAAGCCCAGATTTCAAACACCTCTTTGATAATTTTTAGTACTGATCACATGTTGAAATGATAATGTTTTGAATACATGAGTTAAGTAAAATACATTACCAAAATCAATTTTACCGTTTCTTTTGATTCTTTGTGTGTGGCTACCAGAAAACTGAAAACAACACAAGTGGCTTGCCTTCTGTCTCTGTTGAGGGCACTCACGCAGCTCACTCCTCTTAAATGCCCTAAGTCTGGGAGAAAGTCTGAATAGTCAGAAGTGATTGTTACTGTTCCCAGGGATTTTCTAGGTGATGTATGTGGAATAACCCATTCTGTCTTCCTGGGAGGTTATGCAGAGTCTGAAGCTATGAGCCTCAGATGGGCTGAGCAGGGCCTGGCCTGGCCACCAGCAGCCTACAGGGGCCTGAGAAGCAGGGAGAGCTTCCCAAAGACTCAGCAAGCTTTACTCTAGGCATCAATGCCCCATGGTTGTTTCTGTGGGGTTTCTGCCTTTCTTTCTTTCTTTTTTTTTTTTTTACTTTCAACAGAGAAGTTCTGAGCAGACACACACTTGTGTTAATTTCAGCTTTAATGAAGCCAGCACAGGCAGTGTTTCCCTGACATCTGCCTGAAATATTATGAGGTCAGCTCCACTCTTTGCCACTAATTATATTAACTATTTTTAGGGCAAACTGTCAAGGCACCTACTCCATTCCTGCTTTCTACATTTTCAATTCATTTTCTTTACCCATATCTATTTATACCTGAAATTTTTTTTTTAAAGAGATACCCTCATCATTCTACCAATGATAAAGTTGGGGCAGGTAATGAAGTTATAAACACGCCAGAAGGGAAAGATGACGTGTGATTTCTACAGGGAGATTATTGATGAATGTGGGATTCTTTTCTGATTCTGAATAAAAACCTCACATTAACATTTTGAACCACAAAGTCACAGGGCTGGTAGGGACCTGAGGTCTCCTCTGTGTTGGTTAAGACCAGAGTCTTGCTGTCTGACAGCTGTGTGACCTGGGTCAGATTCTTCATCATCTATAAAACAGAGATGCTAACATCTACCTTCCAGAGTTTTTTGTGGATTACGTGAGATTATTGTGCTCTGTCCCTTGTACCCACTTTCAATCCACAGTAGTTGTGGTAATTACTATTATTAATATTACACTGCTCTTATGTCCCCAGGCAAATTCCAAGGATGTACAGCCTCTTCAAGCCCGTCTGGTCCTGTCCCAGGAGGACCTTCTTCCTCCTTCTTCACCAGAACCCTAAACTTTCTCCCAGGGGGCGAGGCCCACAGTCAGCAGCGCCCACCCCCCCGCCCCTGTGCTCACCTGTGGGGTGCAGTTTTTATAAGAAAACTGTGCTGAGGCTATTACCAAAGTGCCCTCTGACATACCGTCCACCCTCCCCACTTCCTTCCACAGTCTCCTCCCCTGGGACTTGCCTCCACAGACTCCTCAAAGATGCCTCTGAAATACCAGCACTGATGCTTCCTTGTCACTGGCCACCTTGTTCTTCAGTGTTGCTGCTCATCTTGCCACTGACTGTGGACTCCTCAGCTCTCTAAAGCCTATGGGGCGGTTGGGGGGGACTTTCCAGCCAAGCTAGGATGCCAGTCCTCATCACACAGCCCCCACATAGTGGCTCGAGAGGGCTTGTTTTGAGTAACATACCCACAAACCCACCAGGAGTACTCTACTTTGACCTAAGATCCCAGGGCTCATGCAAAGGGCACCTTCAAAGGTCAGCCATGTATCTAAAGTTGGAAAGTGCTTTGGGCTCTACCATGACCCTGAACTAAAGATTTCAGAGGCGAGCATACTGAGACCAGGGGCTTCGGGAGCTAGTCCACAGGTACGGAGAGTACCTGACATTGACTTCTCCCTCAGATACGGTATTTATTCCTGACATGATCCCCAGCACCTCATGGGGAATAGATGGGGAGACAGTGGAAACAGTGTCAGACTTTTATTTTGGGGGGCTCCAAAATCACTGCAGATGGTGACTGCAGCCATGAAATTAAAAGACACTTGCTCCTTGGAAGGAAAGTTATGACCAACCTAGACAGCATATTAAAAAGCAGAGACATTACTTTGCCAACAAAGGTCCATCTAGTCAAAGCTATGGTTTTTCCAGTGGTCATGTATGGATGTGAGAGTTGGACTGTGAAGAAAGCTGAGCGCCGAAAAGTTGATGCTTTTGACCTGTGGTGTTGGAGAAGACTCTTGAGAGTCCCTTGGACTGCAAGGAGATCCAACCAGTCCATCCTAAAGGAGATCAGTCCTGGATGTTCATTGGAAGGACTGATGCTGAAGCTGAAACTCCAGTACTTTGGCCACCTCATGCGAAGAGTTGACTCATTGGAAAAGACCCTGATGCTGGGAGGGATTGGGGGCAGGAGGAGGAGGGGACGACAGAGGATGAGATGGCTGGATGGCATCACCGACTCGATGGGCATGAGTTTGAGTAAACTCCGGGAGTTGGTGATGGACAGGGAGGCCTGGCGTGCTGCGATTCATGGGGTCGCAAAGAGTCGGACACGACTGAGCGACTGAACTGAACTGAACTGAATCCCCTTCAGCCATCTCTGCTCGGAGGAAGTTGAGACAGCCTCCCCACCCTTTCCCAACAGTTAGCACAGCGCGTCACCCAGAAGATGCATATTAACTGTTCGGTTTTTTCTGGGTCCATAGGGTAGGCGCAAGGCCTCCTCCCTGGAGGCTTATGCGCGGGTGGGAGCCGTGGGTCCTTCCCCTCGGATCCTCCACGTTCGCGGGCCCAGGGCCTGACACCCGCAGGTGCGGGAGGTGCTGTCCACTCTTCCTGAGGCCTCATTTATCTTCCTGTACTGGTTGCTTTTGGACTCTCTTTGTAACGTGAATAGGAATAAGATGTTATTCCTGAAGTATACCTTCTATTTCTGACTATAGAAAAATTTAGCTGTCTGCGAACCACCAAATCCAGGCCACCCAGGACCAGCCGCCCGTTGCCTAGTAACGACCGCCAGGCCCGGCCCCGCCTCCGCGGCGCACGGTGGTGACATCATAATCCGCAACACTTCCGGCGCGCGGAGCCGCCTGTCTGGCAGATCGGCTGTTGGGGTCCCGGGCACCATGGCTTCTGTTGGTATTGCTGCCGGCCGGCAGGCTGAGGACACGCTGCCGCCGCCCGCCGAGCCTCCGCTGCCGGAGATGAAGCCGCTGCCGCCGCCGCAGCCGCCGCCGTCTGTCTCAGCGCAACAGCCGCAGCCCGCGCCGAAACCTCCATCCCCTGCCGGTGTGAAGGCGGAGGAGAACTGCTCCTTCCTTCCCTTGGTTCACAGCATCATCAAATGGTAAGGGCCCGGGGGGATCAGCTCGCACGGCCCCCGCTGCCCGTCACGTGTCCGAACTCCAGGGGCGCCCCGCGGTACCAAGGTACATACCCGGAGGGGAGCGGCCACACCGAGACCACCGCGAGCAGTCCCAAGTGTTCAACAGTCAATCCTGGGAGTTGCCAGGCCCCGTGCTGGCAGGCAGCGTTCTTAAAACGAAGCCAGGGTAGACAGCAAATGCACGGACCCTGCGGGCAGACTACTCGGATGCAGCCTGTGAGCCTGTTTTCCCACAGATCCGACAGATAGTGTCATCTTTCATGTGTGGCACACTACTAAGTGCTGTGGCGTGTACACGTGGAGGGGCCAACTTTTCATCCCCACCTTGCTCACCAGTTAGAAGGGGAAACTCATGAGCGAAATAACCCATAATGCAAAGAGGTTATAGGGGTGATGATGGGAACTTTACAGGAGGAGGGCGCTGACCTCCAGAGAGCACTCGGGTGCCCTGTCATGGCAACACAGGGGTGATTGTCTTCTTTTGGCCAGTCTTCAGATCACCTGAGTTTTCAAACTGATCATTAGAAGGAAAACACACACACACACACACAGCCAAAATCTACCCAGTCCCCACATTTGCCCAAATTATTTTTTACTGTTATTTATGTCCACATGATAGCAAAGTTTAAAACCCTGGGCTTGAATTTTTTATTCAGCCATTAAAAAAATCAAAGCAAAGTGGATTACAACAAAGTTACTTTTACAGTAATAGTCAAGTGAACATCAACATGCTCTTGGATGTTTTGCTGAAATGGAATCAATACTCACAACACGAAAGTATTGCTGATGGCCCAGCCGGTTTAGAGTTGAGGTGGATTAGATTCACTTGCCCTGGGATGACCTGACGCTTCCACTGCTTTTCAGATGACTGTGAAGACTTTGTTCTCACAGTAGTCACAGTAGACCTTGACTTCATCTGGCTTCACTTGGTGTGAACATAGTGTTTATCCGGCAAGGCAGACTGTTCTGTTCCCAGGAGCCTGTAATCAGGTAGCACTTCTAGGCAGAGTGACCAAGCAAACACAGAAGCAGACCTGAAGTCCCAGGCATTATCCAGGATCAACCCAAATATGCTTATTCAGGTTTTAGAAAAAATACAGAAAAATGAAAACACAGAGTGTACACATTCTCAGAGTCTATTTTTGACCCTGATAGAACAGTTGGGTTGGGCTGGCCTTAAAGATGGAGCTGTATCGTCCACGAGAGAGAGCATGGGCTTTGAAGTCAGATCTTCTTGAGTTCAGATCTGCATGTTGATACTTGCTTGTGTTGGAATCTTAGTTAAGTGTGTAGCCTTTCTAGGCCTTGATTGTCTTATCTCTTAATATACGAGTAATAATTGTTGTTCGTTGTTCAGTCACTCAGTCGTATCTGACTCTTTTCAACCCCATGGAGTGCAGCACACCAGACTTCCCTGTACTTCACTATCTCCCAGAGTCTACTTAATCTCATGTCCATTGAATAGGTGTTGCCATCCAAAAATGAACCGCAAATGATAGCTCTATAAGGTACCGGCTGAATGACCTTGGTCAGACAGCTTAAAGGCTTGTACTTTCCCAAGATTTGTTTTTAGGAGTCGGCCACGGAGTGTCTGGACTGGGGAACACTAGGCTCATTGTGGGAGCTGGGGGAGGGGAGCCGTACTGAGAATAGGCGCTTGAGAGCAAGTCCACAGACTGGACATTGAGACCCAGCCCCACCCTTCACCCATACCTCTCCTTTCCTGTCCCCAGCTTCTCAACCGGCAGCCAAAAAAAATAGACTCTTGGGTGTCTGACCCCAGAGACACTGAACCTGGGAGTCGAGGAGTCATCTGAAGTTTTTGAACTAGTGCTTGGGTTTTGTGAAAGTAGATGGGACAGAGTCTTTAGGAGGAGGAGAGGACTAGGGCCCACAGGGAGCTGGGGAGTAGGAGGAGGAGCAGGGATGAACCGAGGGTGGTGGCAGGCAGAGCCGCAGCCTGACTGAGGGGATGGTGGCTGCCCAGCACACACAGGTGCAGGTGTGGGATGGTCATCCCCATTCAGACTGCAGGTGATCAGTTAGAAACATCCACATACCCATAACAGCCAGGTCATCTAGCCGTCCGAGGTGCATTTCAGGTGAGAAAAGCAAGAATCAGAACCATGTGTGTAGTGTGGTTACATTTTTGTCAAAACAAAAACAAAAAGTGATTCAGTTACACATATATGGACATTCTTTTTTAAAAAATATTCTTTTCCATTATGGTTTATCATAGGCTATTAAGTATAGTTTTCTGTGCTATATGGTAAGACCTTATTGTTTAGAAATTTTTTGTTTGTTTGTTTGTTTTTACCTTGTCCTTTCAGACGTATGTGTTGTGAATCAGTTTTCTTAAAACTATAATTTAATTTCAAAATTGCCTTGGGACTTAAATTTGTAACAATGTGTTAGCACATATGCCATCCAAGTGGAATGATTTCAGAAGTCCAGATGGTGTCTGTCAAGAGTTGTAGATCAGAGCTGAGACATGAAGGAAACAGAATATAAAACGCTTTCTTGAAGCTGGGGTGAGGTGCACCAGAGTTGGTGTGTGTGAATCGAGGGCCTCAGAAGACAACAGGAAGTGTCTTTATTCATTTCCCAGAATAAACTATTGATTCTCCAGATCTTACTTCTGAGTTTGAGTTATTGATAAATAGTGAGCAGGCCCCAGTGCATCTCATCTGTCAGAAATGAGCTTTAACTAGCGGATCACCAGGAAAGATGGCTATTCTGTCTGCGTAAGCAGAGAAATGATTAATAATAAACATGAATTAGCACCATCTGGGTTGAAATTGCCCAATAGGGATGAACGTTTATTGAAAGAAATAAATGATCCTTGACAGCTTTCCCCTCTTATGCCTCAGTGGGTGACTTTTAAAAACAGCCTTTGCATCAGCTTTTAGATTTTAGTCTCAACCGCCTGTTTTCAAAGGCTCATCCATCCATTTCCTAACTTAAAAATTGTACAGGAGCAACTGGGCTGTTTCTTTGTTCTCAGGTGAAGAGTTTTGTTCTTGCTTCCTTTTAGTTATGCTGTGACAGGAAACATGGGTCTCTGGGCAGCCGACAGTAGCTACGAGTGAAGATATGATCTCACCTTTAAAGTGAGCGGGACCAGAAGGCCAAGTTTACCCGAGTTGTTGGGAGAGGTGGGAGATAGCGAGTACCTGCTGAAAGTTTTCCAGTAGCTGTGACTAATGTAAAATTTATGAATAGCTCTGTGGAAATCAGACTGTGTGTTAACAGGTTCAGGCATCAGAACATCAGCTAAAATTAGCTCTTGCTCATTGATCGTCTCCTGAATGGTCTTCAGTGTCTCACGTAAGAAGGGATGTGGTGCTTCATTAGGTTTTACTTGCCACTTGTTGCCTGATGCTGGTGATGGTTTTTCATTCATTCAGCAGATACCTAGGAACTTATCTATGTTCACTCTTTGAGCAAATGTTACTTTGGTGCATGCAGGCTGGGCTCAGGAGGCAGCCCTGGAGGAAGGCTCTGCTTCCCGTGTGCACCTGCTGTGGGGAGGGGGGTGGGGGTGCCTGCCCATCCCCCAGTGCACAGCTCAATGGGGGACACAGGCGACACGCATTCTAATGCGGGGTTGGGGGTAGTAAGGAGGGAGCTCTCAGGTTGCTGGTGCTAACGCCTGCCCTCTGCCCCTGCAGCATGGACAAGGACAGTCCCGACGTCCACCAGGACCTGAACACCTTGAAGACCAAGTTCCAGGAGATGCGCAAGGTGGTCAGCACCATGCCTGGCATCCACCTGAGCCCCGAGCAGCAGCAGCAGCAGCTGCAGCGCCTCCGAGAGCAGGTCCGGACCAAGAACGAACTGCTGCAGAAGTACAAGAGCCTGTGCATGTTTGAGATCCCCAAGGAGTGACGAGCCGACCCCAGGAGGAGTGCTGGGGCCCCGGCTTCCTGTCTCCCAGCCCTGTGGAACGGCTCTGGTACTGCCTGCTTAGCTGAACTTTACCCCTGACTGCAGAGCCAGTGCCTGAGCTGGTTCCCTGGGCATCCTCGTGCACTGTCCCCCCGTCCAGATGCGCAGTAACTGCCTACTGAAGGAGGAAGGCTTCCTGAGGCTGGGAGGTGGGGCCTCCTCTTCCTCTGGGGTGGGACACAGCAGGAAGGGAGGTGGCTTCCCTCTGCCCCTCCCCACCCACCGCAGACGGTGGGGGTACCAGGAACCTAGTGTCCAGTAAGCAGCAGTGTGTGTGGACAGTTAGGCCTGCACACGCATGGTTTCAGAGACTGTGGGGTGGCCTTTTGCACTGGAATAGTTGTTTCTTTCTGTTTGAGGCATGGGTGTTACTGTTCATGAGGTATCAACCAGGAGCCCACCAGGCGCCCCCGCCCAGGTTCTCTGCCGCCCTTGTCCTTGTTACTTGTCGCTCCTGCTCCTTTGTCCCCTGTCGCCTTCCGTCAGCTTATCCATTTACTGCCCAAGAACGGCCAGACCACCTCAGACCATGTGGTCTCATCAGCCATGGTCTGATGAGATGAACAGACGCCCTCTTCAGCTTTCCCAAGTCCTGTCCCTGGTTCACTGATGACCTCCCCTCTGGCCTTCTCACTCCGTGCACTCGGGGATCACATGGAAAAGGACAGCTCTGGGCCATGATTCTGATGGCCCCTTGGAGTGGGGGAAGCTGGCCCTGGCAATCGTGCAGCCCAGGCGTGGTTCATAGATGTTTATAAACACCCTTGTTTCTCCAGACAGACATTGCATTTCTGTGACCAGCCTGAGGTAAAAGCCTCTGAAACGTGGGGACAAGTGGCGAGTATTGCTCAGATCTAGAGTGGGCTCATCCCTGTGCCAGCCGCGTCAGGGCTGACGGGCGCCCGCCAGTTGGCAGGAATGTAGGCTAAGGGTGTTCTGAGCAGGGGTTCTGAGTCTGCTGGCAGCCACCTGTCAGGTGTCCAGGGGAAGGGTGAGGTTTCAGCAGCCTCACCCAGAGGAGCAGGCTCTGAATTTAAGTGGGTGTCACCTGAGGCCAGCTCTGCCGCGGGGCTGTTATAAACTGAATCAGTTATTTTTTTGAAGTTTCAAGAGTACATTACTGTGTGAGCCGATTTTAAGGCTCCAACCAAATAACCATGGAATATGCAGCTCAGAAATACCCGGCGGCCGGGCCTTGCTGTGAGACTGCAGTGGACATGGGCTCCTCGTGGGTCTCCTTTGTGCTCCAGTGTTGTGACCTGTGACGCTTTTCAGGAGAGTGATTAAAGGAACCTGTGCTCTGCTATTAGGACATCTTGGGTCTGTACTGAGACATTTCACGTTAGGACATCCCCGTGATAGTTGAGAGATGGTCTCCCCTTTACGCAGAGGAGACTGAGCAACTGGGAGCACCTCCATTCTGTGCCCCGCCCCCAGCCCCAGGACATGGCCACACCAGCTACACCAGCATGAGCGTGGGGTGACCCTTCGGGGAGTGGCATCCGACACCAGGGTACAGGTGGCCCGGAGGGTTGTCCTGCCTGTGGTCAGCTCCTGGGCCGTCATCCCTCCTTGTGGATGTAGGTTGGGTCCTGGCCAGGAGCAGTCCACCAAAGCAGAGTTACAGTCCTCCCCTGGGACACCTGGACTCCTCACTTGGATTCCTGGGCAGCGGGCGCCATGCAGAGACGTTGCCCATGGCCCTCAGAGCAGCCTGCAACAGAAGCATCTGCTCTCTGTTTCACAGGTGGAAAATCGGGCTTGCCAGGGGTCCCTTGCCCCGGGCTTCTGCAGTCTCATGTGGTGGAGCGAGCCGGGTCCCCTGGTGGGAGCCAGTGACCTCACCTGCAGAGGGGGTGCTGGACCCCCCTGAGGAGGGAGGGGGACGGGAGGGGCCAGGGCCACAAATCGTGAGTAGGCCCAGGTGGCTCGATGGCGGAGCCTGCGGCTGACTCAGGAGTCAGGTCCTACACAAAGGAGGACTTGAGTGACCCCTCAAACCGTTGATGGTTCCAGGTTTGGTGGTGTTTTGTTGCCCTGGGCCTGTGCTGAGCATAGGACCTGGTCAGTCCCGGAGGCCCTTGGGGGGGCTGAGGGTGGGGGGGCAAGTAGGTAGTGCATGGCTGAACCCTGAAGCCCTTTATTTGTGTCCTGACTTTCTCAGGAATGGCTCCCAAACAGAAGGGCTTCCAGCTGTTGGGAGCTTTTCTGGGGCCTTCTCTCCAGGGAGCCGTTTTCAGGCCAGGGTTAATCTCCAACTCTGGGAAAAGCGAGTCCAGTTCCACAGAAGCAGAGACCTGCCCTTCCTCCTCCCCCATTTCTAAAGCCAGAGGAAGCATGGTTTTCCATTTTAAATTACTTTATTTTATAATAAAAAACCAGTAGCAATAACTTTAAAGACTCAACACGCAGTGCAAACACCTAGGTAAGATCTTGTTCATGTCCAGGGTGACACCAGAACTCTATTATAATAAAGTGCAAGTTTTATGTTTTGCTTTGTGCAATTGCACACACATGTAAACAAGTCACTCCTTATGATCTGACCCCACCCTCGGTTTCGGGCCAGCTGTCATGGCAACCCCCAATCACACAGATAACGCCCCTCTCCTCCTGCCGGCAGGACAGGCTTAACTTCCACCCCCGCCCCAATTTTTAGGGCTTTGTGAGAAGCGGAGTAGTGGGCGCCAATGGGCGTCGGAAGTGGGGGGAGTCGGGCCTCAGCCAGTTCTCGTTCCTTCCCGAGCAGACGACGGTCCCTTCTCTGCTCGCTGAGTCTCTCCGGTGCATGGGCTGGGGCGCCGGGAAGGAAGACGCCCGCGGTTTGGGGCACGTGGCCCCGACACTGGAACTACAGGGCCTCCTGAGGCTCTGCGGCCGCGTGGGGCGGGGGCTCCTAGCTGATGACGCAGCGCTCCTTGTCCTTGGCCTGGCCGCCGCCGCTGGCCTTCTCGCGTATGTACGTGAGGTCGCTGTGCACGCTCGGCCTGCGCGCCCAGGGCGCCAGGATGCCCAAGGCGTCGTCGCGGTCGCCGCCCGCTCGCCGCAGCCTCTTGCCCTGCAGCGCCTTCTGGTGCAGCGCCTCGCAGTGCTGCGCCGACACGCGGCGGTGCAGGTCCGGGCTCATCTCACGCGGCAGGTTGGCCATGGTAAAGAGCGCGTGGAACATCTGGTCCAGGCTGCTGTTTCTCTTGGCCGAGATCTCGAAGTAGGCGCAGCGCAGGGGGTCGGCGCCCACCAGCTGATGGATCTCGCGCGGCTCGACCTGGCGGTGGAAGTCGCGGTCCCCCTTGTTGCCACAGATGACCAGGGGCACGTCCACGTCCTCCTTGGTCTTGTTCTTGAGGCACGACTTGGTGTCGAGAATCTGCCGCTTGAGCCTCCGCACCTCCTCGAAGGAGTCGCGGTTGTCCAGGCTGAACACCAGGATGAACACGTCTCCTGCGGGGGACAGAACGGAAGAGGAGAGGGTGAGGGGGGCTAGCAGGGGACAGCTGAAGCGGGCTGACTTCTGGGCCTCCGGCTGCCGCGAGGGGCACGCTGACCTCTCCAGCGCCCATCGTGGCGCGCGGACCGCGCCTCCAGCCCGCGCGCCCCGGGACGAGGGGTCCCGGGCACCGCGGCGGCGCGCTCCCTCCCCACGCCCGCTGCTGGCCGCCCCGGCTTACCGGTAAGGATGGAGAGGCGCCGCATGGCGGGGAACGGGTGGTTGCCGGACGTGTCGAGGATGTCCAGCTGGTAGATCTCGCCGCGGATGCAGTAGAACTTGCGGTGGAAGTCCTCGATGGTGGGCGTGTAGGCGTCCTCGAAGCGGCCCGTCAGGAAGCGCGACACGATGGCCGTCTTGCCCACCTTGGACGAGCCGAGGACCACCATGCGGTAGCAGTTCTTGGCCGGGATCCTCAGCTCCGAGTCGCTCGGGCACATCTTCTTGATCATCGCGGACAGTTTCATTGAGCAGAGGGACCGAGGGGGCCGGGCGCGGGGCCGGGAGACGATCAGACGGTGGTTGGGGGCGCAGGGCAGAGCTCGGCTCGGCCGGCTCGGGCTTGGGCTCAGCGGGGCTCTGGATCTCCGACAAAAGCTCTGGCTCTGCCCGTCCAGCACCGCCCTTATATGCAGCCCGCGTGGCCGCCCCACCCCGCCCCGCCCCGCCTTGCGCGTCACCGTGCGCACGCCCGCGGGCCCACTGCGCCCTCCGTCCACCTCCGCTGGCCGCTGCCCTCTCCAGCTGGCGGGACTTGGGAAGGGCAGCCCAGGGTCTGCCTCCGGCTTGCGGGCGCACGGACCCTGCGCTTCTCCGCTGCTTCAGCGGCCGCAAGGGCATGGGGGACCCAGTTCTGGCTGGGCTTCCGACCCCATGCAAGGACCCCGCCCCTCCCCCACCCCTTCCCCACCGCAGGACTTACACGCGCACACTTTCTTTGGAACGCACTTTCCTCGGAGAATAAGAACACTGGGCAGCATGACGGCAGGTGTGTGCCAGGTGCCAGACACCGCGCCCGGGTCCTTGCGCACCCTCTCACCACCTCTGAGAACGGAGCCGGCCCAGCCCTCTGGCGTCCCGGGCGGCGGTGTCAGCGGGAGGTGGGCGCCGCCCGCTCCCGCCGCCAGAGGGCAGCTGAGGCCCCGCCGGCGGAGTCGGGATCCCGGAGCTCGGCGCTGGCTCTCGGGGCTGGAATCCGCGAAGCAGGAGCTTCCGGACCCCGCGCCCCACCGCAGGCTTCAGCTCCTTTCTCCAAACCAGAGAGGCGCTGGTTCCTGGCAGGAGTTTCAGCCAGAGGTTGCCCCTGCCGTCTTCCTGTTGGAGCCTGGAAGGACCAGAGGCTTGCGTTTCGGTAGTCAGGCCGACGTCCCCTCCCTCCTTCCCCCATAGCATCTTGTGCCTTTGGAGTCCCATGGGCCAGCATTCCCATTTTCTAGTTGGGGTAGATGGTCTGGAAGCCAGGATGAGCCTGAATGCTGCGTGGGCATCACAGCAGTCGCTGGCCTTCTCTGGACTTGGTATTCCTCTCCTGGAAGATGGAGCTTTGGCTCTGATTGGTTGGGAACTTGCAAACAGTGTAGGGCCGTGGTAATAACAACAATAGTAAATGACCCACGAGGCCGCAGAACAAACCAGGGGGCAGCAGGTTGATCAGTAACCAGGAGTGGGCTGCTGCTGACAGGCCTAGGAAGAGGCTGCCGGAGCTGGCCGGCTCCAGCCTGGAACTGGTGGAAAGGCCATTGCTCCCCATGGTGACAGGCGAGGCTGGACTGTGCTCAGCTTCTGATTTGGGAAAGAGCCAGGGCTATCACCTGGTGCCACCCACCCATCCACACAGGCCACGCTCTGGGCAGTGCCAGCGTACCAGTCTGAACACAGGTTTGCACAGGGCCTCTGGACTCTCATGGGCTTCTCAGGCAGCCCTGTGTGACCGGGATTCCAGCAGAATCTCCTGCCCTTTGCAGGGGAGCCAGGAAAATGTTGGTTCCCATTTATCCCATCCCAGGCACAGTCTTTGGGCTTCCCTAAATAGCTCAGTTGGTAAAGAATCCGCCGGCAATGCAGGAGACCCCGCTTTGATTCCTGGGTCAGGAAGATCTACTAGAGGAGGATTAGGCTACCCACCCCAGAGAATTCCATGGACTGTATAGTCCATGGGTTCGCAAAGAGTCAGACACGACTGAGTGACTTTCACTTTCAGGCACAGTCCTTAAGTCTTTATTTGTGGCAGCCTTGAGGGGTGGAAACTATTACTATCTCCATTTTACAGACAGAGAAACTGAGGCAGGAGAATGAGTTGCCCAGGGCCCATAGCTGCAGGGTCCAGCTCTCCCTGGGGAGGCCAGTGGGCCAGGACCCAGCCCAGAGTCAGAGCCTTCCTCTCCCCCGCCCCGACCCCAGGTCAGATGACAGGACTGGGATAACCTCACTCGCCTGGCACCTTCCAGCTGGTGACAGTGGCAGGTACTGAGCCCAGCCTGGGTTCTCAACCTCAATTCCCGGCACCTGGGCATGACTCCACCCACAGATGCCAGGTTCTAGGACTTGTCCCTCAAGTCAGCTAAGTTCATTAGGCCCTGAGCCCACCTGCCATTCTTTCCCCTGAGTGTGCCCCCACCCTCCAGCCGTTGCATTAATTCTAGGTTGCCCAGGTTTATGATGATACCGATGGTCTTGCTTTCTGGGTCTGGGCACCTGCCTGTATGATTTCTTTGCAATGCAAGCAAATTTCAGGCTCAGAGTGGAATGGGAAACTTTTAAACCATTTGGTAAAATATTGGGGGTGGGCTGGAAGCAGACAGCTGGCCCCCAAGGCAGGAAGTGTTCACCATGGCCTGGTCTGCTGGTAAAGAGTGGTTTAGAAGGTTCCTGAAAGTTGTGTTGAGGTATGCTGAGTGCTGGCCTGCCGCCCAAGACCGCCCCCAGCAGCTCTTTGCACAGAGGGTCCTGTGTCACCCCAGCCCACAGCCACGGCCTGACAAAGAGAACATAGCTAACCAGAGCTGCTTTCCCCTCTGACCTTGCCTCCACAGCTGAGGTCACAGCTGTCCAGCAGTTTCCTCCTCAGCTGTGGGCTGTTCCCATCACAGCAGACCCTCCTTGCCCCAGGCCTGACTCCCACAGCTGCATGACCCAGGAGTCACACAGTCCTGCCTTGACAGACAGCTCAGGCCATGGGGGCCAGGACGTCAGAGGTGCCCACAGGGGCTGAGCTTCCTGTCCTTGAAGGTATGCAAGCAGAGGCACTGCCAAGACCTGCCTCCGTGCCTCCTTCAGCTCCTCGAACCCTGAGACCTCTGAATCCCAGACACCAGAGGGCAGCCTTGAGGAGGTCCATGGCAGGGCCAGCTGGCACTGCCCACAGCGCCCAGGGGCCCAGGGTGAGCATGGCTACAGGGGCTACTTCATAGGTGAGGATGCTGAGGCTAGGGGGCCAGGTGCACAGGTGGAGCCCCCCGTCTCCCATCCCAAAGGGATTAAAATAGGTTCTGTGCCCTTGGAGGGCCAGGGGCTGTGCAGGTGAGGCTGGGCCTGGACAAGGGCCCCACCCTGTGCCCACAGCTCTGCAGTCAGGCCTGACCACAGGCCCGGTGGCCCCATGGGTGCTCCTTGTGGCCACGTGAGGACCATGGGTCATTAGGAGAAAAATGTCAGGGTAACCAGAGATGCCGGGGGAGGGGCTCAGTGCTTCCCTCCCAGGAAGCTAAGGATGGGATGTCCCCCGGAAGGGCAGCAGTGGGGTCAGGTGGGGGGAAGAGGAGGCCCAAAGGCCTGGACAGTCCCCCCACTGTCCAGTGTGGATGATGGCACCCCTCCCAGCTCAGGGACCCTCTCCCAGACCCCAGCCTGCCCCTCCCTGACCTGGACAGATGGAGACCAAAGGGGGATGGGTCAGGCGCCTTTTATTAGTCAGGACAAGGTGGGCAGCTGGGCAGGGGGCTCTGGGGCCACAAGGCGCCTGTCCAGAGCCCTCAAGCCGTGTTCTCAAGGCACTGGACAGTCCTCACCAAGCACCACTCTCCCCCTCAAGGGGCCTGTGCTCGGGGCAGGCCTGAGGTGGGAACTCTCACGGAGTGGCCGCAGCTGTCAGCTCCTCTTACAGGCCTGGGAGGCTTTCTGCTGATAGATTTCAGCGGTGAAGGGCCTGCAGGGGTGAGAGAGGCTTGGTCAGCTGGTGTTAAGCTTGACACTGCCACCCATGCTTCCCACCCAGGGTGGACAGGGTTGGGGGTCCGTGTGTGACCAGAAAAGGCCAGCACTGCCAGCCCGGCTCCCGGGCCTGTCCTGTACCCGCTCAGCTGCCCATCTGCCGCTCTGACAGTGACCTGGCCATGGCCAGCTGCCAGGGTCACAGGGAGGCCCTGGAGGGAGAGGAAGGCCCAGTGCGGGTCCCACGGGCACACGGCGTCCCCAGCCCACGACAGCGCCTACTCACTCTTCATACAGGATGGCGACCATGTAGATGAGTGCCACCACCGCGGTCAGCAGCAGGCCGGTGGGGCTGGCGTGCCTGTGGGGAAACGCTGGGTCAGGGGCAGGCCCGGGGCCAGCCTTCTTTCGGACGAGGGTCCACCTCACCATTGCCCATCCAGGCCCGGGCTGACACAGGGAGAAACAAACGACTGGCCTCCCCAAATCACCCGAGCGGTCAGCATGTTCTTTTCCGCACAGGAGGTCGTGGGGCCTCTGCCCACCAGAAGCCATGTTCTCGGGCTGTTTTCTAGAAATCGGGCCAGGGCACCCAAAGCCAGGTGGAGTGTCCAGTGAGCCCCTTCACAGGCTCTCTGCTGGTGACTGCTGCCGGGGCTGGGCTCCCACATTCAGACAGTTGAGGAGGAGATGAAGGAGCTGGCTCATGGAGCCCAGGAGCTGGAGGGGAGCCTGAGGCCCAGGCTGGGGGGCTCGAGGCAGATGGGTGCCCCCCCGGGACCCTCTGCCTTCCCACCCCCACTCCCCAGAACCTCACACTGTCTCTCTGGGGGCTTCAGGGACAGTGAAGGCCAAGTGTCCCCTATGACACCCCCACCTTCCATTCTGTGGACTCCATTCAAATCGACCTTGAGGGTGAGTGGGGCCACCTGGTCCTCAGCACTGCCACGTGGACATGCCAAGAGCACAGATGCTTAGGGGCTGAAACAAGATCTGCCCTCCTGAGGCCCTGCTCACGGTCCTGGTGCTGCTTCCTGGAGTGGGCAGAGCCTCCCCCTGCCCCCACCCCCACCCACTGGGGGACCTCACGGCCAGGGCTCCATGGCCACAGTATCCCTAAGGCGGCCAGCTCCCGGCCTGGGAAGCCAGCCCCTTGTCAGCCGGGCACAAATGCTGAACGGGAGCCAAATGCCCTTCCCTGTTCTATGTGAACTTTCCCACCTTGAAAGCACTGTCACCAAACAACCGTGTGCAGGTGGTCGTCCCACACTGCAGATGAGGAAACTGAGGCCCACAGGGACCCACCTGCCAGAGCCCAGAGCCTGGGGTGGGTTAGGGGGGGTTCCCAGGGACACAGCTGTGCACCTTGGGGAGGGGGCGTCTCACTCAGGCTGACAGGCTGGTGCCCCGGGAATCCCAGCACCTCGGACCTTCTGGGGCTCCCACACAGCTGGTTGCTTGGGCCAACAGGAAGCCCTGTCTGTGGGGCCCCAGGCTGGGGACAGATGGGCTGGGAAGGCCTGGGAGCAGCCCTGCTGGGTCAGCGTCTGGCAGCCGTAGGTAATGGAGTATGTCTAATGAGCTCTCAGACGAAGGGCTCCCTCCCCTGCACATCGGAGGCCCCTCCTCATCACCAAATGGCTGGTGCCCTCCTGAGGGGTCTGTGGGAGTCTGGGCCCCTAGGGTTCCTCATATGTTCTTGAGAACCTTGGCCTAACAGCCCCTGTAGAGGGGGCAACCTCTCACTCCCGGAGACAGAGAAGACCCACTCTGTGATTTTGCCCTGAGAGGCCCCATCTAAGCACAGAGGAAGAACCTGTGTGTGTGTGTGTATTGCGGGAGGTCAGGGAGGACTTCCTGGAGGAGGGGACACCTCAAGTTGGGTTTGGAAAGATTGACTGGGAGTGGAAGTGAGAGGGAACTGTGGGTGTGCTGGCAGGGAAGTTTGCAGGAGGACTTGTGTGGGGCTCCCCCTGCCAGTCTCAGGTCGGAGACACTATGGGGAGTGGGTAAGCCTGTGGGGGGAGCCTGCCTCCTTGGATCCCACTGCCCCAGTCCAGGAGAGAGGGGCCAGGCTGAAGGCAGGTGGATGGGGGGTTGCCTGAAGTGGGGCGCAGGCAGGGGGTCCCAGCAGACCCACACGTGCCCCTCCAGCTCCTTGTCACTCAAAGCCCAGAGGTTGGATCCCACGTATCCGACCCCCCGAAGGTGGGGCTGGTTGGGGAACGTCCACTCCAGACGGTCCACCATTGAGGTTTGTTCCTTTAGGTCCTGTCGTCCTTCTGGACTCTGGGGGCACCTGTGACCTTCCTGGAAAGTTGTTTTCTAGCATTCGGTAAAAGCAGAATTCTTTCTACAAAGAAAACCTTTCTATGGAAGAAGTCCTAATCTAGGAAATGGACAGACGGGAGCTGCCCTGGGGGGTGTGTGTGCCAGGCTCCTGGACTGCGGGTTGCTGGCCGGAGGGGCCCTAGTGTGTGGAATGCAGATCCTGCAGGCTGGCTGTGGGCAGGGGGCCTCCCTGCCCAGTTCCAGCACTAGGTTGGCAGCCTGTGGTCCCCAGGAAAAGAACAGCTTTTATATTTGTAATTGTTTAAGAAAATCAAAAGAATATTTTGTGACTTGTGAAAATGATGTGAAATTCAAATTTCGCAACCACGGCCACTCCGTCACCTGCTGCCCAGGAGCCTCCCGCTCTTTTATGAGGAAGTCTGCCAACCTCGTTATAGGATGTTCTCTGCTCCCACTGGTGAGGGACTCCCCAGGAAAGGAGCCCTGACCAGTGCCCTGGGCTCCACGGGGCACAAGGGCTGACTCACACGATGGCCCAGCCCAGGTAGATGGCCGTGCTGCCCCAGTACATGGGGTTGTCCAGGACGCTGAATGGGAACATGGTCACTCTGGCCTCCTTGAGGATCCCGAAGTAGTCACCTGCAAACAGGGCGGGCAGGAAGGAGGGTCACAGTCTGGCTGCCCCATCCAGAGGGAGGTGTGCAGGCACTGGGGGGTCCCCAGAGGCTGTACCCCCACCTGCTCTTGTCTCTGGGCCTTTGCATGTGTTGTCCCCTCTGCTTGGGGACTTTCCCCGCTCTCCAGACACCTCTCCTCCTTTGCTATCTCCTCGGCTCGTGGCACTTCCTGTAGACCTTCCCTTCACCTGCCCCCCATTGTCTAAAGCAGGCCTACCCCTACTCACTATCTCTGCTCCACCTCCCCCTCCTCCCTCGGCTGGGCCACCCTGACCTGGGCTGCCAGCCTGGAGATCAGCTCTCCCACCGCAGCCAGCCCAGAGCTTTTCCCAGGGGAGGGTGTGGCGGTCTGAGAGGCAGGGGACAGAGGCCTGGTGTCCAGCACTGTCCAGCCCAGCCCAGGCATGGCCCGCAGGGAGCAGCGCTGCTCACCAGGGCCTCCTGATTCCAGTGTCCCTTGCGCTCCAGGCACACGTGGGCCTGGAGGAGTAGCAGCGCATCACCATCACCGCTGTCTGGGGACAGAGGACTCGCAGCCAGGGAGCCTTTCTTCCCGGTGACAGAGAAGTCTGCTTCAGGGTGGCTCACGGGTGGGGCGGGGCAGGGACTCAGCCACTCTGACCTACATCTCTGAGCCTGAGGGCCCCACGTTCCAGGCCATTTCTCCTGGGGACCCCGAGGCGGCTGGTGTTCCAGGCCCTTCCCCCTCCCTCCTCCAGACTCTGGCTGCCCTCCCCCTACCCCTGCTGTGGGGCTGCTCACCCCTGGTCTCCTGAGGTTGGCTGGACAGCACCACCCCTCCCTCCCCTCCCTCACCCCACCCCTGTGAGGCCCACACCATGATCCCCAGCTGCTCCTAGGCCCCCAGAGGACCTCCCCTGCGGGACTCTCCTCCTGGGAGGATGCCCCAGTCCCCTGCATGGCCCTCAGGGACTCGAGCGATATGATCCCTGGCTGGCCTTCTGCTCTGGCCCCACTGCCCCCGGCACATCAGCCGCCCTGCTCCCGCCCCCCGGAGTCCCAACTGGGAGTTGGATGTCTAGGACATCTAGCCCTGCCAGCACTGGACTCTCAGCCCCAAAGTTCCGGAGCCACAGGCAAGCAGAGGGGTCAGCGCCCCAAATTGTCACCAGCACAAGACTTGCACCAGCCCTGATCGGACCTGAACACAGCAAAAGAAGCTTGGCCTATCCTGGAGGCCAAGCAGCTGGCTGGGGCTTGAGAGCCTGGACCCCCATGCTGAGCAGGGCAGGCTGAAGCCTGGAGTTGTGGGGAGCAGGGCCCCAGCCCCCCACACTCAGGGTCTTACCTAGGAAGGTCCCGGTGAAGCCCAGCGCCAAGAAACTGGAAAAGACGAACACACCGCCCACTCCCAGGAGTGCCAGGCCCACGTGGTAGGCTGCGGGGTTGTCCAGGCTCTGCATCCGGGGCTGGCTCAGCATGGCCTGCGTGAAGCTGCGGGCAGGGCAGGGAGGTCACCGCCGTGCAGAGGGGCCGCCCACCCTGCCCCCAGGCCCCCAGAGTAGCCTGTCCAGGGGTCTTAGGCGGGTGCCGAGGATGAATCAAGTGGCCTGCTGAGGGGCCGCCACGGAAGAAGTGACTGGAATAGGGGGCTGGTGCCTGCTTCCAGAGAAGCCAGAAATCCTGACTTGTCTGTAACACATAGTGGTTTTTAGAAACAGATCATGAATGACAACATTTTAGACTCTGCAGGACAGCAGGGTGTTCAGTCCGAGGGTGACTGGCACTGCAGAGGGAAGGAGACTCCGAACTCACACCTCCACCCAACTCTCCCTTTGTCATGAGGAAGCCCACCGGCCCTCCGTCCTCCCTTCCTCCCTCTCTTTCCTTCTTTTGGCCACACCCCACAGCTTGTGGGATCTTAGTTCCCCTGACCAGGGATTGAACTCGTGCCCTCGGCAGTGGAAACAGGAGTCCTAATCGCTGGACCACCCTGCCAGGCTCTTACTAGCAGAGCAAGTTCCATCCCCATTTGTCCACTCCATTAGCCAGATGTCGTCAAATTCTCCTTAGGTTGGGCTAAAGCCCTGGCGCCGGCCCACACCAGGCAGAAGGGGTCACAGTCTGTGTTCATCAGCCAGGAAAAGCAGCCCCCTTCCCCTCCCCTCAACGTGAAGGAAGGGGAACAGGGAGGCGGGAGAAGCATCTGTTTGAACAGCAAACAGGACACCACGGGCAGAGGCCTGCACGGTGACCTGTCAAACGGCGGCACATGTGTCAGGGCACACCTGGCCCCCGGTCACACTGCCCATGCCCCCTGCTCTCCACCCACCTCTCCTGCTGCTGGGCTCAGGGTCACCCCGCAGCTCCGGGCTGAGCCGCTGGGATTGGCTCAGAGCCGCACACCCCGTGCGGTGCCAGGTGGCCGCGCCCATGCCCCACCCCTGCACCCTCCCTGGGCTCTGATAAACCCGCAGTTCTGAGAGCTGGCAGCTCGGGCCACAGCTCAGCCCCCTCCCACCCCTCCACCTCTCCTGTCTATAGAGCAGGTGGGCTGGACGCAGCCCTGTGAGCTGACTGACAGACATCACTCCCAGGGAGAGGTCCTAAAGGTCACAAAACTATACCTCAAGGTGGCTGAAATGGTCAATTTTAGTAACGTGTCTTTTACCACCCACACCTGCACAAAGGCACAGAAAACCCACCTGCAGGAACCACATAAAGCAACAGGTGAAGGGTGCTGGGGAGCCGGAGAGCAGGACTCCCACAAGCCCTGCCCCTGAACCCCCCCCCAGACCTGTCAGAAGGGGGCAAACAGGAGGAGGACCACAGAGGAGAGAAGGGAAAACAGCCTGCTTGGGGTGGAGGGGTCCTTTCTCTGCCCCCAAACTCCCTGGGTGGTTAGTTCATCCGGGAGGAAAGCCGTAGCCAAAAGGTAGACATAGGCTAGGCTGACGGTGACACTGGGAGAGGGGCTGGGCCTGGGGTCACTCCCCCGCCAGGCCTCTCAAGGGCCCAGGATGCGACACATCCTGCCAGCGCCAGCCTTGCAGTAGGATAGGAGGGACAGCAGCTTGTCTATAGACCCGCCTCCGCTGGCCAAAGGGGGTTCGAGTCGGGCCACATGGAGGACCCCGTCAGCCCTCCGGACAGACAGGCTCTCCATCATCTTGCCCTCTGCCCCTCCACTCCCCCCACACCCACCTGGCCGCTCACCTTGGTGCAGCCCACCTGCAGGGTAGGATGGACCACCAGGCTCCACCCCATAGGAACAGTGGCGGGGCTGGGCCTGGGGTCCTGGGGTTTTTTTTCCCTACATGGTGGACTCAGGAGGCCAAGAATACACAAGAACTAGAAACAGCACATTATTGAAGGGAAACAGGCAGCATGTCCCATCTCCTGAGACGCTGATGTTTCAGGAGCTTTAAATGCACCCTCGGTGACAGCCAGGGAGAAGGGGCCATGGGGGATGCTCTGTGCTCACTCATTCATTCATTCACTCGCTCACTCGTTCAGAAGGGCCAGAGTTCCTGCAAAGGCTCCTTAGGGAAGAATGCAGGAAAGCAGCCAGTCGAGTGGAAGGGTAGCACTTGCACTGGGCAGCCCACCAGGTGGGGCTGTTTGGGTCTACCCCCCCCCCACCCTGCCCCGCCACACCCCCCCCTCACCCGCAAGCTGAGTTTTCAGAGTAACTGGGGGAGGAAGGGGGTGTGCAGCACTAACCCCATTGTGGAGGGGTTCCACCGAGCTGGCCTGGCTTCCCTCCCCCCCCCACCCAGGTCACTGCTCGCTGTGTGGGGCCACCTCTCCAGGTGGAGCCCAAGTGGGGGTTTCTCTGAGCCAGCAGAGCCAGTGGGGGAGGTGGGCTCAGAGCAGCCCCGGCCTAGTCCCCCCGCCCCACCTCTCACCCCTCGCCCCAGGCACCTCCTGGTGGGGCTGGGGTGGAAGAGGGGGCTCCCCCAGGGGCCTGGAGTGAGGTGGGGGGTAGTGGGGGAGGGGAGGGGTCCTTACCAGTGGGAGCGCAGGATGTTCAGGAGCAGGATGGCCCCACCCAGGGTGTAGCAGGCCAGGCGGGGGGACCCAAAGGCCTTGCTCAGCTTTCGGGTCTTGTGTTCCCATCTCGCGACCTACAACGTGCAGAGAGAGCAGCTGAGACCCAAGGGGCCCTTGCCGGTGGGGGACAGGTCACATGGGGGGGGTCATGCAGGGGCAGGGTACGGGGAGGGGTCTCGGCCCACCTCCGCGGTGGGGGACGACCTATGCAAACAACACAAAGTCCTTCTGGAAGCAGCTGAACACTGAAGCAGGAGGAGGCCAGGAGACCAGGGGGCAGCTGAGCCCCTCAGCCCTGAGCAGCTCGGCTCCCCCACCCAGGGTCCAGAACACACTCACAATCACACACTCCATGGACGTGGGGTCAGGACCGTGAAGGGGAGGGAGACTGGGATGAACCCAGAGCCACCCTCTCCCACTGGACACGCCCACTGTCCCAGACCCTTGGCCCTACCCGCCCAGAGCTTTCACTTTTTAGCCACAGAAACCTTTTATTTTTCCAAACTCATCAGGCCCAGACTCTCAACCTTCAGCAGCTAATGGTGGGGCAAAGTGGGAGGGGGCTCCCCAGGGCCCCTTCTGCCTCTGCTATCCCCAATCACCTTGCCTGTTGCTCTGGCATGAAAACCAGCTGGCCAACTCACTCTCAGTCGGGAGGGCATCTGGATGGTGAGTTTTCAGGACAGGAACCTGCACATGGTTCCTTCTGGGGGCCTGGGGGACCCTCCCCCTCCAGAGTAGCTGGATCAAGGCGGGGTCCACCGAGGGGTGAAGAGAGGTCCTCGCAGGGTAAACTGTCCTCAGTCAGAGGAAGCAGCCTGTGTTCACACATGGACCCCAGGCTCAAGCCACAAGGATGGATAGGACATCCACACTATTCCAAGAACCGAGGGATGTCAAGATTCCAACAGTAAAAATCACACCAACATCAACTCAGCACCTAACAATTTTTAGTGTTTTCACCTGAGCTCACTTAACACTCAAAACCAGCCTGGGCTGGGTGGGGTGAGATCCATTTATATGTGGGGAAGCCAGGGCTCCTCAGGAGTGACCAGAAGGGCCATCCAGCCATAAGAGGGGAATCTGAGTGACTCCTCAGCTCCTATCCTAGACTAGCACCCTTTCTGTCTAAAGGGCTCAGCTGTTCTTCAAAAACGCTATCTTTGGCACAAAACCTTGTTTCTGGTGTGGGATGTCAAGACGCAGATTTAAAGGCCATTGATTTTTTTTCCTCTCTGCTGATGAGGTAATGCTTTCAAAATCAGCCACGGAATCACGTCCTCACCCCTCCGGCAAGCCAGTGGGAGGAGCACAGACCCAGGCCACCACTTGTCCCCCACACTCGGGGACCACCAGGTGTGGTGGAGCAGGCATGTTCCTCGCTCTGCTTCTCAGAGCTCTGCCCCCCCCCACCACTGAACGGGACCCTTGGACAGAGTGGGGCACATCATCACAAAGATATAATCACCCAAACCCAGACACCCTACTAGACAAGTGACTCACTCTCCTCCCAGAGTCGATGACATGGAAGAAAGTGAGGGGCTCAGGAGTCACGTCTACCAAGTGCAATGCCCATCGAGTGCAACGTGCAAACCTCATTTGGATCCTGATGCATACACACCAACTGGAACAAGATAGTTTTGACACAATCGACAAGAACTGAACACGGACTGAATACTGAATGACATTTATTACTGCTGTCCTTTCTACTCCTAGCCAAGAAGGATGGCATTTACCCACTCACCTGAAACACACACAAAACAGACAAATATGCAAGGGCTTTCCAAACACTGGACATGAAGGAGTGAAGGATGCTGATTTAAGCCTCACCCCATCAATAATAACATTAAATGCTTATGGCCAAACATCTCAATTAAAAGGCAGAGATTGTCAGACTGGATAAAAAATGATCCACTTGTATGCTGGCTACACGAAATACACTTTACTTATAAAGATACAAACCAGCTAACCACAACAGGCTGGCACAACAGTCACTCTACTAACACTGGTGGAAAGGAGGCTGAGTGGTTGTATAAATTTTAGACAAAGTAGATTTCAGAGCAAACATTATTACCAAGATAGAGAAGATTGTTTCACAATTAACCAAGAAGACATAACATCCTAAACATTCAAGCACTTGATGCCAGAGCTTACAGTCCATGAAGTAAAACCGATAAATCTGCAAAACAGAAATAGTTACTTCAATACTCCTCTCTCAGTACTGTTAGAACAGGTAAGGATAAAGATTTGAATACTATCAACCAACTCAGTATACTGATGTTTGTAAAAGACCTCACTCAACAACAACAGGAAAGAACTTAGTTTCAAGTGCACACAGGACATTTACCAAGACAGATCACATTCCGGGAAGTAAAACAAGTCACGGTAAGAGATACACATCATACAATGTGTGTTTTCTGACCACAGTGGAGTTAATCGGAAATTAATAACAGAAAAAGCTCTCTGAAAACAATCCCCAAACATCTAGAAACTAAGTAACACGTGTCCCAAAAAAAACAACTCCTGGGGGAAAGAAAAAATGGAAAAGGAAATAAGAAGGATCTTGAATTGAGTGAAAATGAAAGCACAACATACCAACATCTGTGGGATGCTGCAGCTTGGGAGGGTTTATGGCACTGAACACCCACAGGAGAGAGAAGGAAGGTCTCATTCACTGGTCTCAGCTCCCACAAGAAACTAGAGAAAGGAGAGAAAATGAAACCCATGTAAGTAGGAGAAAGTGTGGAGTGGAAATCGATGATAGAAAATAGAAAAACACTAGAGAAAAATCAATGAAACCAAGAGGTGGTTCTCGAAAACCTCTACTCAGACTGAGCAAGAAAAAAAAAGACACAGATTCTCAACATCAAGACTAGCGTCTACAGACATTAAAAGGGCAAAAAAGGATACGCGAAAAACTACACCAGTGAATTTGACCAAAACTTGTGCAGGAAAAGCAGCAGAGGGTTCGACCAGCATACACTACGTCCATCCATATATTTTGACACAGAGTCAAAAATCTTCACAAAAGAAAGTTCCAGGTCCAGAGGGCTTCACTGGTGAATCCTACCAAACATTTAAGGAAGAAATAATCCCAATTATGTACAAACTGTTCCCAAAAATTGAAAAGGAAGGAACACTCCCCGACTCACTCCGTGAAGCCAGCGTTACCTGATACCAAAACATCACAAGAAATCTAGAGAAAAAGACCCTTCCTGAGCAAAATGCAAAAATTTTAGACAAAACATTAACAAATCAGCCAATGGAATCAACAATATGCTAAAAAAAATAATACATCAGCACAATCAAGTGAGGTTTATACCAGGAGTGAAAAGTTGGTTTAACATTTGAAAACCAATCAATGTAATTCACCATATAAACAAACTACACAAGAAGAAAACACTATGATTGCCTTAAGAGACACAAAAGAACATTTGACAAAATCCAACATACCTTCCTGACAGAAAGTCAGTGCGGGAGGCGTAATAGGGAACACCCTTGTCCTAACGCAAGGCACCTGTGAAGACCGTGCTGCTGACATCACCCCAGATGCTCCCATAGACCAGAAGAAGAGCTCATGTCCACTAAAACACACACGACACGCAGTCACCTACACAAACTGATGAAATCGACAGTGCAGGATGCGCACCCCAAAAACTAAAGCTATAGAGAGGGACTTCACTGGTGGCCCAGCAGTTAAAACTTCTTTCAGCGCAAGGGATGTGGGTTTGATCCCCAGTCAGGGAGCTAAGATCACACAAGCCTCGAGACCAAAAAAACAAAACGTAAAACAGAAGCAAGACTATAACAAATTCAATAGACTTTATAAATGGTCCACATTGAAAAAAAAATCTTAAAAAAAAATAAACAGAGTGTCGGTGGGTCTGGAAGCTTAACATTAGTAAGAGGTCTATTCTCCTTGATTGGTCTATAGATTCAACTTGACCCCAGTCAAAATCCTAACAGGCTTTTTTGCTGCAAATTGACAGGCTGGTTCTAAAATTCTCACAGAAATGCAAAGCACTCAGAATAGCCAAAACAAATGAAAAAGAAGAACAGAGGGGGGCCAACTCGGCAGATTTTGAGCCATGTTATAAAGGGACCAGGATCAGGACTGTGGTGCTGGTGCAGAGGCAGACACATGGACCATCTGAACAGAACAGGGAGTCCTGAAGTAGGACCAGGTGTGTTGGGTTGCCTGATGTGTGACCAAGTGAGAGAGCGATTCGTTCAGAGGACAGAGGGTAACGGTGCTGGGTGTCACACACAGAACCCGTAACTCAGACCACATACAAAAATGAACACAAGCAGGTTAAAAGTCTGAATATGAAACCTGAAACTACAAAACTTCTAGAGGAAAACGTACTAGAAAATCCATAGACCCTGAGTTATGTAGTGATGTCTCAGACACACATGACTTGCAGAGGAGGAGATGTGATGAACCAGCCGGAGGGAGGGAGGGGCCGGGGCTGTCATCACGCTACCCCTCCCCAGGGGGCAGTGAACTGCCCTCTACCTCCTACTGCAGGGTCTGGGGTGGGGTGGTCTGGAGGCTCTCACCTGGCAAATTCCTCAGAGGACGGCTCGGCTGTGAGGCCCCATCGGTAGCCCACCCTGTCTGACCCACCCTTCCTGGACCCACGACGGGGCCAGTGCTGGAGACACCCCACCTATGCCAACCTGGAAGCAGCAGGAAAGACCCCCAGCACCTCTACAAGAAAGCTAGTCACACCCTCAAAAAAAAAAAAAAAGAAAGCTAGTCACACCCTCAGTAGGCCACGTGGTGGCTGCATGGCCCAAGAGCCCCAGGCCTGGCAAGGCCAGGCATCCCAACAACATGGTCTTTGCTTAAGCAACCCAAGTGCCCGTTTTTAAGTTTCATATAGTCAATACACTAAACAGACAGGGAGACTTCTTACTGAGAGAGGTCCTTGGAGATTCACCTAAATGTGCAGGTTTTCCTCCTGCACTTACGGTGTTTGAATGACACAGCATTATAGAATCTCTTTAAAATTTTAAATGAAACAAGGCCCACTGGTATGAAGCCATTGGGAAAACAGCCTAGGAGCGAGTG